AATGTTACACACCCTATTCGGAGACCTTAAGGACCAGAACCCTATAGAATCATTCTATCACCCCTTTAAACATTTCTATAGAGCTGGAAGCAGGTGAAAGTTTCCCAAAGCTCCCAGACATTTGGGGTATAATTGATCTTCAAGCAGCCAATCAGATGCGTCCTGTGCTGAACTCATCCAACATGACTGAGATAATCAATTTATCATCAGCGGATAATAAACACAAAGGGCTGCAAAGATAGATATTAGACTGCAGCAAAAGGAAAACGCAAATAAAAAAATAAAGCAAATAATACTGCAGACTTGTTCTAAGAATAAGATGTTCCAGACCACTAGGGGGAGCTAACCCATAGCTAGAAGTGAATGATGAGTGCTGGATGGATTAGAGGAAATGTTTGTTTGTTTCTGAAGAACATCAGCATACTAATGTGGCCAGTATTAAAACACTGAACACACAGAATCTGATTTTGCATTCGATTCAACAGAAAATCGTGTCGGAAAACGTTGCATTTAGCTCTCATTTACAGTCAAGGATTTCCTGCAGGGGGCAGTGTAGCTCCGACTGAGATAGAGTCAAGGTCTGTTTTAGTCAGACTAAGCAGCAATTCAGCAGCAATTTCATGGGTCTGCCAGGAAGAGAGATGCGGTTACAAAGTAAAACACATCCGCTTTGGGGGAAAATACAAAATAAAATCTGTGTCTCACACGGGGAAACACGGGGCAAACATTAAAAAGAATACTCTACCCAAAAAGGAGTTGTGCATAATCCTCTCTAAGCCTCACAAAGGCAATGAGGGTCAATAAAAGTCAATGTCTCATGGGAAAAGAATCGGATCCGAGATTAAAAAGCCTGCCTGCCTGTCTGTCCCTGGGCGCCGCACAATGGCAGCCCACTGCTCCCCAAGTGGATGGGTTAAATGCAGAGAATTCATTTTGTTGTTCTGTACTTGTGACAGTGGAATGACAATAAAGTTGAATTCTATTCTATTCTATTTCCTAAGGGTCTGTCCTCCCTGGATCGGACCCCCTCCCCTTCCTGCTGCTTTCTTTAGATTTATTAGTTGTTTGGGTTTTTTACAGTTCTTTTTTTCTGGGATTGCTGCATTTTTCAGCTGTCTTGTGTTGCATTTGATTTTTTTCATGCTTTTGTTTTATGCCATTAGCATCATTTACGTGTCTGCGGCACGATTTGTAGCACAGGTTTTACCCGTCGGCCACCAAATTTAATAGAAAATATAACCTCTTTATTGAGAATTGTTCAGTCTGATTATATCTGATAAATCTAACATATTATACCATAATAACATTTATATAACATTTATACCAGGGTGTTCAGGGTGCAGGGCTCGGTAACCTTTGACCTCAGGTCGATGCCTTAAACCGGCCATACACTGTACATGTTTGTGCCCTTTTTGGGCCGATTCTTCAGTCATGTGAGATTTTTTTAATCAGGCCGAACCTCAGCCTCATGGCGCGTCACCTGTCATGTAGTACACAGGACGTAACGAGGGGCAAATAGCCTCTCATGACCACCTCCCGATAAGGAATGGTAAGGTCGGGAAAAAATCAAACATGTTTGAAATTCAGTCGGCCCTCCTGAGGTGGTCTTGGGCAAATCCTGCTGCTACGAGCAGATTTACCTGAGCCTCAGTGCACATGTGCAAACAAGGGAGTTCTTCTTCTTCTCTTCCTCCAGATTGACGAGTCCAACCAGCGGCATCTCTTGGCACTGAGTCTGATGTGTGTATTTTGGATGTACAGTGTGAACATGGGGTCAGAGCTTAGGGTCGCACAGTGTGAGAACAAACATCATGAGCTGTGAACTTTTAAACCCTGTGGTTTCATCACACAGTTTGAGCTGTAGCTGCGTGCAACGATTGAAAATATCGTACAGTGTAGGCCCGCTTTATTTGTTCAATTGTTCTATTGTACACACCTGGTGATCTGTCAGTAAACCACTCAGGCTCCAGCAGAACCAGCATCAAGCCAGGGGACGAATGTGGGACAGGTTGACAGCTTAGGGTCCAAAAACATTCTGGTTTGGCTGCTGAGATTTCCAGGTGGAACTACCTCAACATCCTATTGGGTAGATGTTCTCGCATGCAGCCCTTCAACCACATCAGAAATATTTTCCAGTACATCCTTGGTGCCGCTCTCCAGCCTTTTTTGACAGCTTTCTCCCTGCTGCTCTGCTCACAGGTTGCTGGTGAACAGCGAGTGTGTGGGTGGGGGTGAGAGCTTGTCTGCAGAGGAGCTAATGTTGCTGCTCTAATCCCTGCAAGGAGGATAGTCAGTGTTGTGTGTTCACTTAGGGGACAGTGGAATAGCTGGTTTGATGCATTCTTAGTGATGTATATTGATGATGACCCGTGTCGTCCAGAAGTGTTAGAAAGCGGTAGAACATTCCTGCAAAGGAAATCAAACTCAATGTTTGGCATCTGTTCATGCCCCCCTTTCTCTGGAACACCTAAATAAAATCACCCAGTGTCATCGGAGGCCCATGGCAGCTGTTCTGTCTCCCACCTTTGAGGTTCTGTCAAAGAAGATGTGTTTTTACTCTCCGTGGCAAAAAAAAAGAAAAAGGTTTGAGAGAGAAATCAAATACACCTAAAAAGGAGTATTTGGATAAGAAAATAGAAATGTTTGATATGATAAGAAGAGAAAAGGCAGAACAAACAGAGAACAATGCAAAAATGCACAAGAAACCCTTACTGAAGAAACAAACTCATCGTTAACATCTGGGACATGTTATGTGGGTTTGGAAACACAAATAGCTTGAGATCAGATCAAGAACCAGTGCAACCATCTGCAGGTTAGCTAACACCCACTGGGTCTGTTGGGAGCAGCAAAGCCCCACCAGGTCCTCTGACCATCAACAGGAGGGGTGGTGCGTTAGACCTGGAACCACCAACAAAGCCCTCCTTCTTATTATTGCTTTTTTCCTATTTATCAGTTGCTTCAGATCACTTGTGATCCATTGTTTATTATTTTGGAAGCATTTCACAGTTCTGGTAGGGATGGTATTATCTACGTAGAAGTTTATGTAGTCAGTCACACACTCAGTAATTGCATTAATGTCTTCTCCATGTGGCTGACACAGTGCATCCAAGTGTGGCCTTGAAACAACCTTGCAGGCTTTTTCAGCTTCCTATGACCATCTTCTAACAGAGTTTTTTATTTGAGCAAAAAATAACAAGATTGTGATCCATTTTCCCAAGAGAAAGTCTTACTGTAGAGATGTAGTAGTCATTGACATTTGCACAAAACAAGTCCAACGTTTTGTTTTCTCTNCTGCAGAAGCTGAGAAATTGTTGGAATGTTGGCAGTGTAGCAGAGAGTGAGACGTGATTAAAATCACCAGTAATTTACATAAATGCATTCCGCTGTATTCAAAAAAGTCTTAAAAACTCTTAAAAAAGAATATCAGCGGCTAGCAGAGCTAACCCAACATGCAGCCACCTTAAACAGTGCAATTCCAGAGACTGTTTAGAGCGGCCTTCGACTCTCCAATATCTCTTTACCTGTAAATTTTATCTGCTTTCTTTTCTCATGATTTCTGCACTTTGAATGAGTTTATGGAAATGTTTCAGACTTGCCATGTCTTCTCTCACTGACCTGGTGTTATGTTGAAGCTAACCATGGTATGAATGAGCGTCAGTGTGATTGTGCTGACCTGTGTTGCAGGATAACGACGAGGACTCCCATCTCATCTCTCCAAGTCCAGTGGTCCATGTCCGCGGTCTGTGTGAGGCCGTGGTGGAGGCAGACCTCATCGACGCCCTGAAGAAATTTGGACCCATATGGTGAGACAGTGTGTGTTTGCCTGTGTCTTTGCATCAGTGTGAGGACCATTTGAATGATTCCAGGTTTAGGTAAGGGTTAGGTTTGTCCTGCTAATGGATACCGCTGCTTTCACAGCTTCAAACCTTCTGACGGGGTCAGAAATGTCATTCTTGGACGTTTTTATACATATTTTAAAACGTTGATGAAGATGAGGATTGCAGCTTTTTATTAAAGCATGTGATTAAAATGTTTTTATCAGTTAGACATGAGAAGGTTGTCTCCATGAATAAACTGAATGCAGTTTTTTATATATTACCATGACAACTCCAGCCGGACCATCTTTAGTGGCCAGTTAATAGAACGGATTCATATTCATAGTTAAATATTGGATTCATTTAAATGCTCAGTTCTCTGCTCTACAGAATCTACTGCGTCTGTCTCTGTCCCAGTTGTTACATAACTTCCCACACACTGACTCAGTGCCCCCCCACCCTCACAGCATTAAAGTGTGACCACATTTAACGGTGTTAGAGCTTAAAGGGATGAAAAGCAACACAGCTGTGTTGCTGAAGGACGGTCCCACCTGAACAGGTTGTCATCACACAGCCTCTTAGTTTGGTGCTGCACCGTTGATGCTAACAGCAGCTAACCTCAGCCTACATCGTCAGTTTGCAAATCTCACTGTTTTTAAGATATAAGATCTCCGGTTAAATCCTTTTTATTTTTTCCATGTTTCAATGAGTCCAGGTTTTCAGTTGCTCTCGGCCAACATGAGGACTGTGATCTCCCCATTTATGCAGGTTGTTTTTTTCTCTGTTTTCTGTTAATTTTGTGTCTTATAGTTGTGGAAGCAGACTCCTACACTGCAAAAAATAAAAATCAATTGCATTGTCTTATTACAGTTATCTAATTATCTTATTTTAAGAGTAAAAACAGTCATTCCATTGGCAGATCATCTTATTTATCTACTCAAATTAAGGTGAAATACACTTAATTTAAGACATTTTTACGTATTTCTAGATTGTTTTTGCAGTGCAGGAGTTACTGTATATCTTCTGTGTCTATTTTTGCTGTTTTGGTTTCTTTTCTCTCTTCCTTTTCTGTGTGCGTTGTATATGATTTTCCAGAAATTTTTTAAATAAAGTTTCATATACACATACCAGTCAGAAGCTTATGGCAACAGACATACTGGTTTGCTCTGTCAGGCTGACATCTAGGGGATGGACATCTATTCCCAGAATCTTACTGGCAAAACAAATGAACATAGAATGACTTCATTCTATGTTCATTTTTACATGTAAATAAAGCAATTAAGTTGATTTTCATCATCATCTTTATTTGTAGAGTGCTTTAAAACAGCTACAGCTGAAAAAAGGGCTGAAAATAGCAAAAAATAATAAAATACAATATAAAAATATAAAATAAGGCAATAAGATGAATTGGTTTAAGCTAAATAAACCAGGTCACAGAGCTATCAACTGTGTGATCTACAGAACTCTCAGACTGAGATGTTAAGGGAGCAGAACCCTAAACTGGATGTGATTCTTGCACAGCATCACAGGCTAGCTGCGGTTCCTGGACTCAGAGGTGAAATGGTATAATCTTGGATAAATTCTAAGCTTGGACACTGGCGGAGAATTCCATAAAATGTGTTCTATGGGTTTCGCCATGATGAAATTCCAGCAAAGACTCTGAAGGCAGGCAGGAAAAAATACACAGCCAGCCTGATCCAAACAATTTGCCTTTATCTGGAATTTACGTCCCCACTGGTCTTGAGAGGCCTTTATCTAAGCAACTCTGTCAGAATGACATGTAAATATGAAGCTCTGCCCTCTGCCCCCTCCCTCTTCAAAAGACTGCCTAGTTGGTCAGCTGATGAAGTGTTACATCTATCAATTGTGGGGTTAAGGGTCTTTTGCTCAGGGACCCAGAGTGGCAGTCTGTGGGAGTGGGGCTCAAACTCAGAACCTCTGGATTTCGAGCTATATGCCCTAACCACTAGGCCACCACATATGATATATACGCACCTATCATCCTCCTTGATGTTCCTGTAAGATGTTATCTGTGATGGATCTTGCTATGTGATGAGTTTTTTCTTTGCAGTCTCAAACTGTCTCCTGCTAAGGATACATTTGCTGGACAGCTGAAGTGCATTGGTTAGCCTCCAGCAGCGAGATTAAAATCTGTGTTAAAATTAAAAAAGTGAAGTTAGATTTTAATATTAAGATTAAATTACAACCATTACAAGACATCTATAAATCTGGATCATTCTCATGAGCAGTCTGAATCAGCCTAGCCAAAAGTACATGTTTTATTGTCATTAACCTCTCAAAACCTGTTGCCGGCGACCCGTTTTAACGCGTTTACAAATAATAAATAGGAATGCATGAAAATTACACTGTTAAAATGTTTACCAATATAGACTTGTTAGACATTGTTGGAAAGCTTAGATTCTCCACAATTCGACCCACCGAGTTGATTTCATGGACATAGCCAGCACCAAAGCACAATTATAGCAGCATGTCGAAATGTAGCATGACAAAGCAGCCACAACAAGCAATCATGTTTTTATTACTGCTGTTCAAAAAAGACTTATCATTTTTGAGAATAAAAAAAAAACAACTTGTTTTAACTGATGCAGCTTGGGTGTTTTACTCACCCAATTTCCATGTATATATTTGCAAAGTAGAAGGTGTTAGCTTTCAAATAATGTATCACACATGTAATTTGGGCTTACAGTTCCTCAGTTATTTGCTTTTCCATTTGGGTATGAAAAATAGGCCAATTTCCCAGAAATTAGGTGGATATTAAGAGGTTAAACATATACATGAATAAAAAGTAAGCTCTCAGGGCATAAAAATAACCTTTAATAAAGTTATAGTTAAACCTAATAGGAATATATTTGCACAATACAAAACCTTTTTTCTATTCATGTGTACATAGATAAAGCTGTGTTTTTTGTCAATCAATCAAGTACTGCACAGTACAGCCCTAGTACTGTTCCAATTCACAAGAACAGCAGACCGAGAACAAAGTCCCCATATGTTGTTCTCGCCCCGCCCTCTTTACCCAGCATGCATCAGAGCAGACTTGTCTGTTCTTGAGATTTACTGCTGTCCCAGCATGCACTGCTGCAGCAGCAGCTTCCAATGGAGCGCTCACAGAGCTCAGAGTATTAAGTTAAAAGTTCTATTTTCTGTTGCCGCTGCTCAATAAAAATAAGTTTTAAGATAATTTCGATGAGAGAACATTATACTTTAAGCATCACTATATGGCCCATTTACTGATTTAATACATTATTGAAAAGAAAGTTTCCGAAGTTGAGAGGACCTATGAGGGTAACGGCAGCCAGGGCTAACGTTAGCAGCCCTCTCTCTGTTTGTGAAGGACCACTGGCTCTGATGGCAATTTTTTTTGTTTTATTTCACAAAATGTTCATTTGATTTGTGTTTATCTGACTGTGTTCATTATTATTCCTCCACTAAATGAAAAAGTATTAATTTATTGTTATCTTGAGACTATTAATAACAGGAGGTGGAATGCAGCTCTAGACAAGCTTTAAATGTGATGATGTCATCGGTACGCTTCTGTTTCTATTGACCCATATCTATGCTGCGTGCTCCCGTTCTCCCGTCCATACGTTCCTGTGTTCTTCTAAAGAACATACTTAGCGAGGATACAAGTCCGTACTCGCGTTCTTGTGAATTGAGAAATGGCTAGTGTCTTTCATAGGACCCAAAATTCCCTGGTAGCACCCCTGGGATGAGTAGATGTAACCTAGTTTCTCTTGGATTAACTTTACTAATAAAATGTGAGTCAATTTACTAAACCAAACGGAGGACAAATTGTTACCTTTGCTTATATCTGTTGTTTTTAATGTGCATGTTTTAGATCAATCAATATTATACGTTTGTAGGGTTGATGACACAGTGTTGATTTCATGTAATGTTAGATTAACATGGTGCAGCAGGACATACCAGGTGGTTCTGGGTTATTTAGAATCAAAGCCATCTCCATGGTGACGTCAGAGGGAGATCCCTGATGGAGCTTGATCAGCATGCTTTTGCAAAGACGGATGGAGACACTGATGATTGTTCCAGAACATATAACTGGTTTGTGTGATTGAACCATCAGCCAGATTAAACTCAGAAAAAGGTAGTGATGCTGAGGGACATGGAGGCATCGCAGCTTTCGTCACATCTCACCGACTGGGGGTTCAGGGAGGCAGAAGCAGACACGAAAGAGGAACAAAGAAGCAGTGATGCAGGAGGACTTTTTATGTGAGAAAAGAAGAAGGTAGATGTGTTATCATAGAGTGAAAAAGCAAAAACCTTTATTGCATTAGAGTCAACGAACTGCACTAACTAAATAAAATGAATTTCAAATCAACCACAATGAAGTGAGCAAAACTTGTTGCATTATCTTTCAGCCACTGTGGTTTGGTCTGAAGCTGCTGTTAAATTTGCCTTCCTTTAACCGAGTACAGAGGGTTTCATTCAAACACTTTGGATGAACTAAGGTTTTAATTTGAGTAGCAGTTACACACAAACATTAGATCATTACGTTTTTTTTTTCACAGAAAGTTAGGAAAGAGGAACTGAAAACATATGAGGGAGTAAATGTTTTATAGTATTGCTTTGGTTGAGATCATCCTGGGATTTTATCCCTCTGTTGAACAACGTTGCCATATGGCAGCAAACAGTTTATCTTAACTTTGTAAAAATGTTTTATAAAATATATTTTTATAGTTTGTTGTGAAAAGAAACGCTTTTACTTTGATGTAAAAGGAATGTGTGTGGTCATCATGTGTGCCATTCTTTCTTCTTATGGCGATAGACATGTGAACATACGGAAGTGTATTGCATTCAACAAAGATAAAAAATTCTGACAGCTTATCTCATAATTACGAGATCTTTATCTCGTAATTATGCGTCTGAAAAACATTTAAGCTGGCTTGGTGGTGTCACATAGAACTGTCCTTCGATACCTTCTCAAAATCCTAAATCCGCAAGGAGAGCTGAGGCTTCTGTGATGACCTCAGAACGTTGGATCCATAATTGGAGGCGAGACAGGCAGTGGAAAAGTTCAAAGCGTTTATGGCAGAAAAATCACTCCATACTCCTTGTTTTGTGAGAGATTCTACATTATGGGCTCAAGTAAGCATAACCAAATATATAGATACAATCTCATAATTACGAAATAAGATTTCGTAATTACGAGATCAGTATCTCGTAATTTTGAGATCTTTATCTCATAAATACGAGATAATATCTCGTAATTATGAGATACTGATCTCATGAGATAAGCTGTCAGATTTTTCTTCCGTAGGAACATGATCAATCTGAGGCCAAAGAATAGAAAACATTCCTTTAATGTCCCACAATGGGGAAATTCTAGTGTTTACAGGCTCAAACAGATTATAGAAAAAAAATGGTCACACAAATGTGGATCAAATGTGGAAAAATGTATAACATTAAAATAATTGTGAAAACTCAAAAAGTAAACTATATAATTATTGTTCACCTAGAGAATAAATAACCAATATGCAGCAATTTTTTTTTTTTTTGTGATGAATCTTTGAAAATAGCAGCAACATCAGAGATGTGCAAAATGACAGCAGCATGTTATTTAACTGACTAAGGTAGAAACTCCAAAAAGCATGAATGTAACAACTTACTGAGGTTGTTTGGAACAGTGGTGGTTCTAGAGTCTTTCAGCTGCTGGTAGGAAGGATCTGTGATAACGCTCACTGGTGTGTTTAGGATGCAGCAGTCTGTCACTGAAGGAGCTCTCCAGTTCAGCACCAGCTTCTTGC